ACACCACATATACATATACACATATATGCATGCACACGCATACATATACACAGATACATGCATACACACACCACATACACACATTTGCACATGCACACACATACATATACACATAGATACACACACACACACACACACACACACACACACACACACACACCGTGGGCTTACCTGGCTCCTTTCACAGACCTAAGATGACTATGAATTTCAGGGTATGACAAGCCTTTTTATCAACACCTCAGTTGGACTGGAAGCATCAGCTAGGTTTTTGGGTTGTTTTTCACAAAATAGGCTATGCTTTTTGCAAGTCTCTACAGAAATGACTGAAAGAATTGGACTCCATCTGCTGCTAAACCGGTGCCTCCAACAGTGGGAGGGGAAAAAAAGACCAATTAAAGGAATAAGAGGTTTCTGCTTCATTTTCTTGAAATGTGTTCTTATCTTCTATGCCCAATGAAATCTTAACATTGCTGTGGTATTCACCCAGAATTCTACTCTCTCCCAGCTGAAAAGATCTCTCCATTCTCTGGAACCTTGAAGTGCTCCACACCTGAGTTGCAACACTTATTCCAATCCATATTATATTGGAATATTTTAATATATGGGCCCCTAGCTCCCACACCCCTCCTCTTTGCCTCTCCAATAGGTTGAAACCCCTGAAGGCAAAGAATCTGTTCCATAAGTTCTTTCACAACCCCAATAAACATAGTAATTGACACAAAATCAGTGTATACCATACTGAATAGCTGCATTAAAATATATACCTGAATTAATGGAGAAACTAAGCCAGAGCTTCCAACCTGGCCCTAGATGTGGTATTTGAATCAGACTGTCAGGAGCTCTGAAGACAAACTTCTAACATCATATTCTTCCTATGTGGGTGTCTCTGGATCTCTGACCTCTTTTCCACTTACTATCTAAAGGGCAGCTGTGGCCACCTAACATAGAATCACACCTGCAGGGCTTCTGAAAAGGAAGTAGCTTAGTCTAGGTCATGCCTTGGGCATCCATTCTGTGGGGCATCATGGGATAGGCATCGAGCCAGTTAGGTGTGCCAGTGATTCACACACACAGTTAAAATTAAAATTCGTCTCTCCCCTAAGGAAAGGTCACTTTGCCTGGTTTCCTTGTCTTGGTTGACCTATGTAGCAATACTTCTATTTCTGCTGCCTCCTGGCTCGACCATTTTTCAATTACAGTTTGTCCCTGCCGTTCCAGCTGAGGTCAATGCGGGTCTCTTCCTGATCATAGATCCACATTTATGAAACTCTAATTAGGCATTTCCTTCAGCTGCTGACATAGCTCATTGGGACAAGTCTGCAGCCATAAGCTTAGTATGAACTAAAAGACTGTTTGGATGCCCAATTAAGAGCTCTGAGTACAGTTCTATTTGTTCCTGTAAGCCTTGGCTGCTCCTCACATAGGTAGTAGCCTCTGTTTTGATTTGGGAATACATAAATTGTACCATCTTTTGTGACTCATTACAAAAATAAGACAAGATGTATTCCTTCACAAATTTCTAGGATTTTGCCTGTTTCTTTTTTCTTTTTGTTACTTAATGTGGCAATGGCATAATACAGGAGCCTTCTCACATTCTATGGGTAAAAGAATAATTACAATTTTTTCACTGGAAAAAAATCAGTATATGAATCAAGATCCTTAAAAATAGCTATAATATTTGAGCCATTAAGTCTCCTTCCAGGAATCTTTTCTAAGGATATAATCAGAAACGGAGACAAATATTTATGCCCAAGAAATTGATTATAGTATCATTTGTAATTGTTATTATAAAATTAATCTGATAATGAGAGAATAGTTAAGTATGTTATAGGATATCCATATCCACATCACATGGCCACTTACAGTGGGCTTTGTGAAGTTCAATGCCAACATTAACTGATACATGCAAACTTTCAAATCATTAACACAGTGTGATCCCAATAGGGCTTTCACAGCCATTGCTTCTCAGGGTTTTTATATGAAATCTGTAATAGAAATGTTCCCATCTTCAAGGTTGAAAGCATATTGTAGGCATATTTGAGGCTGCTGGGAGCCTTGGATATGCTAATGAGGATGGAGAAGCCCCTTCACCCCAACTAGGAGGCTCAGCTAAGGACAAAGGCTCATTTTATCAAGAGAGGTGTCATGAACATTTTCCATTCAGAAAAACTGTAGGAAATGCATCTAGGACAAACTACAATATTGGGAAGGGCAGTGCTGCTCTTAAGATGTGAAATGGTCCTGACTTTTCCTTGGAAACTTTTTCTGTTGTCTTATGAAACAGCTGAATATTGAGGAATTAAGACCAGAGGACTATTCTCCTTGATCTTCAGCAAGGAGAATAGATAGGATGGATCTGAAGTACATGGGAATCAACCTGCCATGTGCACAAAGAGGATGACTGCTGGCTATGAAGGTAGTGAGGAACCCAGGACAGGGAGCACTCATAGGCTACCTACAAGGCCATCCCTGATGGCTTACTTTCCATGAGGGAGGACATGTGTCCAGGAATACTTTACTATCTCCTTGGACCTAGCCAAGAGCTTTCAGATACCTCTTGGACTATTCCCAGGATATAAACCATTTTCCAGGTTGCTTTCGATGCCTGACTATCTTTGACTCCAACTTCGAACAAGGGTACGTTGAGATCCCTTAGATGGGGTGCTCCATTCAAATACTCCCTTAGTTCATCACTCTTCCAGGTCCCTAGACTCTGTCTTTAGGTCCTCCTGTATACCACCCCTATAATCTGGGAGCACCCATTCCAGTCACAGGCTCAACCTAAAATCTCAACCTCCAGATAAGGTCATATCCAAGACATCAATGAAGTGTGGAGTGTAAACCGAGTCAAGGACTCTCACTGAATTCAACAAGACACTGGACTGAGCTGCCTGGACCCTTCCTGCTTGCCTACTAAAGTCCCTAAAATATTCTTCAGGCTTTATCAGACTAACAGGCTTCAAAAGGAGTAATTTTCTGAGACATGAGATGGGACAATATAAAAAGAACATTAAGGGGAAATTTCTTATTCCAAAATGAAAGGGAAAAGATCATTTAGCATCCCTGTTGGTGTTATCTATTCATGAGAAACAGCACATTTAATCCAGTGCAGGATGGAGGGGGGACTTTGATGCCCTCACCTTGGGGGTCACCTTCATGTAGAACTCATCAGCCTCCCCCGCCATCTGTGGGGATGCAGAGGGAAGGATGGGGACTAAGCACAAAGGAAAGAACCCGGGCCTGCACAGAGGGAGGAAAGCACTGTTCACTAGTTTTGCTGCCTTTTCTGGTTCCTGCCTCCCTTCCCACGGTTTTTTATAAATTGTACAGTGTGAGTCTGCTCTCTTGGGTCAAGAACTGTGGCTCCTCCTGGTTCAGTTACTATGGCACCACTGTAACCAAATAACTACAAAGAGCTGCTTTTGCTCCTTGTTTCAGAGATGTCAGCCCATCATAAGAGAGAGAGTGGCAAAGCAGAGCCATCCTTAGTTCTCAGGAAAGAACAAAGGAAATGTCCAGGGTGAGATACAGTCCCAGGGACACCCTCCTAGTAACCTCTTCTTCCAACTAGGCCCCACAACCCCGAGCTTTCACCACCTCCTAATAATATGGCCATATAATAAATCCATTAAGTGATTAATTCATTCATTAGGTCAAAAGTTCTATGGAGCCATATGGCAATGATCCCTAGAAATGGCCTCACTGTTACACCAGAGGTATGCTTCATTGATTCCCCCTTGTGGTTCTCAACCAAGTGAGGGTGACAGCCAAAATCAGCCTCACTCCTGAAATTCTACAGTCCATTAATGATGGTTCCCAATCCTGGAAAAGACAGGACTCCTGAGTATGGCAGGTCATGAAAGGACATATCATAAGAGTAGCCAGTCCCCAGCACAGGCCAGAAGGTTCCATTTGTGGCCTATCTCTGCCTCCCTACGTGTATCAAGGTAAAGGAAGGCAAAGTCCTGCTAGAAAATCTGTCTCCCCTTGGAGTTTACTTTCCTTGAATTGGAAGTGCTAGGCTACACCAGCTTCTCAGATGCTTAACATAGAAACATCGGGATTTGGGGCTCCAATTCCTTGGGGTTCCTGCTTCTTCCTTTTTTTTAAGTCTGCCTTTACTTTAGATACTCTCTAGCCCTGAATCCCAACTGTTCTGTTGCTTTCTTCTTCCACTGTTCTTTCTCCTCTTCTCGTCTGTCTTAATCTTTAGCTTTACTCTCACTGGGCACTATTCTTTGTACAGCTCCATCTAACCCAAGACATAGAAAAAAAATGTTTTCAATTGCACTTTTTTCTATATTGAAGAAGTAAGTAAAATTTTATTCAAACAAATGTAAACAGACACTCTAACCTATCCATCTAACTAAGTAGTTATTAAGTCCAACTAAATAGGTGGTAAATGTGTGAATAAAATGTTCTTTCTTCCCATTTTCAAATGTAGTCCATCCCCCATGCCTGAAGATTCTGCATCCATGAATCCACTCAACTAAAACATTGCTCCCAAATTAAATATGAGTAGCCTTTTCCTTTTCTTGTTGTTAGTTCCTAAGCAATACAGCTGAGCAATTATTTAAAGAATTAACATTGCACTGGGTATTATATGTAAGCTGGAGTTGATTTAAAGTACACAGGAGGATATGCATGTGGTATGTGCGAATGCAACGCCATTTTATGGAAGAAACTTAAACATCTGCAGATTTTAAACTCAGCCAGATTTTAAACTCAGATTGGTTCCTGGAGCCAATCCTCTAAACACTGACGGATAGCTGGATTCAGCTGATGACTAGATCTATTTGGGTTCTTCTCATTGTGTCTGATAACTGTGATGTATAATATATGTCATAACTATGTTCTTTGAGTCTTTGGGCTAATAATCGTTAACCCCCAAGCATCTTTCTCTCCTTTCAGAATGAGATTTTAAAGAGCTGTTTGGTGATGCACTGTAGATTTAATTTTAAGCATTGCTTCTCTCTGTGTGTTCTTTTCCCCCCCATTAGATTTGTGACAAAGAATGGCATTACTATGTCATCAATGTGGAGTTCCCTGTGGTCACCCTGTACATGGATGGAGCAACATATGAACCATACCTGGTGACCAATGACTGGCCCATTCATCCATCTCACATAGCCATGCAACTTACTGTCGGCGCCTGTTGGCAAGGTAACCTTGAGTGGAGCCCTCTTCCAACTCTGTGTGCTGTCCATGGGAGAGATTGATAGAGGAAAAAAGGAAGAATGGGTAACATAAAAGCTAGCCAGAAAATAAGTCACTAGCCCTTTACTAACAAAACAGCACGTATGAACGTAAGCATTAATCAAGACATCAGCCCGAAGTAATAATGGAGCTCCTGGCTTGAGAATGGATTTTTCTTTTATATCAGCCTAGACAAGTTCATGGTTGCCTCTGAGTTACCAAGACCATTTATTATTTTGGAATCTTAACTGATTCCAGTCTGTGGCTGCATGTAGGAAGGGTTGAATGCAGAATCTTTGACTGAAATTGTCTCAAGGTTGCTTAGAAACCAAGGATTTCGTTATCGCTCAAATGTCTGAGCCCCTGGCATCTACATGACCAGAGTTATGTGAAGTAAATTGTCTACAGGCCATGAGGTCATAGCGGCCACTCTCAGAGTATGCTCAGCCCTCAGTCCTGAGTCTTGTTTCAGCCCTGTCCCTCATCTCTTAGGACAGAGGCCCTTGATTGACGTCACCCATAAAGAGGTCTGTTTCTTCCACTCTTCCTTAACCATGCCTCTCTTCTAACAATCAGTCCAACCCCATTTCCATTTTGGAAGCAGGCAAAGGAGTTTTCAATACACATAGCCTGTGTCTCACTCAGATCAGATGGAGTTTTTTTCTTATTCCCTAAGTACTGAGGGTTCTTTGAAGCCCAGTAAGGGTGACTAGCAGGTAAGTAGGATGGGCCCAAGAAGGCATATAACACTCTGAGGTAAGACCCAGCCTTGTGTTGATGGATTCTATGAAGGTTTCCAAGATTTGTAACTTTTACCCATTCACCACAGGATAGTGAGGGGAGAGTGTACTTAACGAAGCCAGCTCTTAGTATTTACAAGAAATTGGTTCCCATACCTCACATGAACATCAAAGCCTTACTCAAGATGATGATGTTCTTGCATATAACCCCTACACAGACTCCTGTATACCTTAAATCTTCCCGATTATCTATTGCTTATAATGCCAAATAAATACTATGCAAATAGGTGTTATACCATTGTTTAGTAATTTTAAATGTCTGTTTAGTAATTTTAAGTCTGTAAATGTGAACTGCAAACACAACTTTGAAAGTCATATTTTTGTTGTTGAGAATAGTTTTCGCTATCCTGGGTTTTTTGTTATTCCAAATGAATTTGAGAATCTCTCTTTCTAACTCTGTGAAGAATTGAGTTGGGATTTTAATGGGGATTGCATTGAATCTGTAGATTGCTTTTGGCAAGATGACCATTTTTACTATATTAATCCTGCCAATCCATGAGCATGGGAGATCTTTTCATCTTCTGAGATCTTCTTCAGTATCTATCTTCAGAGACTTGAAGTTCTTGTCTTACAGATCTTTCACTTGCTTGGCTAGATTCACACCAAGGTATTTTATATTATTTGTGACTACTGTGAAGGGTGTCATTTCCCTAATTTCTTTCTCAGTCTGTTTATCTTTCAAGTAGTGGAAGGCTACTGATTTGTTTGAGTTGATTTTATAACCAGCCACTTTGCTGAAGTTTTTTTTAATCAGGTTTAGGAGTTCTCTGGTGGAAGTTTTAGGGTCACTTAAGTATACTATCATATCATCTGCAAATAATGATTAGGGTCACTTAAATATACTATCATATCATCTGCAAATAATGATATTTCGACTTCTTCCTTTCCTATTTGTATCCCTTTGACTTCTTTTTGTTGTCTAATTGCTCTATCTAGGACTTCCAGTACTATATTGAATAAGTAGGGAAAGAGAGGGCAGCCTTGTCTAGTCTCTGATCTTTGTGGGATTGCTTCAAGTTTTTCTCCATTTAGTTTGATATTGGCTAGGAATCACCATCTCTGACCTTAAGCTGTACTACAGAGCAATAATGATGAAAACTGCATGGTATTGGTACAGAGACAGGCAGGAAGATCAATGGAATAGAACTGAAGACCCAGAAATGAACCCACACACCTATGATCACCTGATCTTTGTCAAAGGAGCTAAAACTGTCCAGTGGAAAAAGAACAGCATTTTCAACAAATGGTGCTGGTTCAACTGGAGGACAACCTGTAGAAGAATGCAAATCAACCCATTCTTATCTCCTTGTACAAAGCTCAAGTCTAAGTGGATAAAGGACCTTCACATAAAACCAGATACATTGAAACTAACACACTGAAGAGAAGGTGGGGAAGAACCTTGAATACTTGGGCACAGGGGAAATGTTCCTGAACAGAACACCAATGTCTTATGCTCTAAGATCAAGAATTGACAAATGGGACCTCATAAAATTGCAAAGCTTCTGTAAGGCAAAGAACACTGTCAATAGCACAAAATGGCAACCAACAGATTGGGAAAAAAATCTTTACCAATCCCACATCCAATAGAGGGCTAATATCCAATATATACAAAGAACTCAAAAAATTAGACTCCAGACAACCAAATAACCTTATTAAAAAATGGGGTACAGAGCTAAACAAAGAATTCTCAACTGAGGAAACTCGAATGGCCAAGAAGCACCTAAAGAAATGTTCAGCATCCTTTGTCATCAGAGAATGCACATCAAAACAACCCTGAGATTCCACCTCACACCAGTCAGAATGGCTAAGATAAAAAAAACTCAGGTGATAGCAGATTCTGGTGAGGATGTGGAGAAAGAGGAACACTCCTCCATTGTTGGTGGGATTGCAAGATGGTGCAACCACTCTGGAAATCAGTCTAGTGGTTCCCCAGAAGATTGAACATAGCATTACCTGAGGATCCAGCTATACCACTCCTGGGCATATATCCAGAAGATGCTGTAACATATAACAAGGACATATGCTCCACTATGTTCATAGCAGCCTTATTTATAATAGCCAGAAGCTGGAAAGAAGCCAGATGTCTTTCAACAGAGGAATGAATAAAAAAAAATGTGGTACATTTACACAATGGAGTATTACTCAGCTATTAAAAAAAATGAACTCGAGAAATTCTTAGGTAAATGGACAGAATTAGAAAATATCATCCTGAGTGAGGTAACCCAATAACAAAAGAACACACATGTTATTCACTCACTGATAATTGGATATTAGCCCAGAAGCTTGAAATACCCAAGATTCAACTCACAGACCACATGAAGCTAATGAAGAAGGAAGACCAAGTGTGGGTGCTTCGGTCCTTCTTAGAAGGAGTAACAAAAATACTCAAGGGAGCAAATATGGAGACAAAGTTTGGGACAGAAACTGAAAGAGGGGCCATCTAGAGACCATTCCACCTGGGTATCCATCTGGAGACCATTCCACCTGAGTATCCATCCCATGTTCAGTCACCAAAGGTAGACGTTGATGTGGATGTCAGGAAATGCATGCTGACAGGAGCCTGACATAGCTGTGTCCTTAGAGGTCTGCTAGAGTCTGACATATTCAGAGGCAGATGCTCACAGCTAACCATTGAACTGATCAAGGAGTTCCCAATGGAGGAGTTAGAGTGAAGACTGAAGGAGCTGAAAGGGTTTGCAGCTCCATGAGGAGAGCAACAATATCAACCAACCAGAGCTCCCAGGGTCTAAACCGCCAGGCTGGGAGCACATAGGGAGGGACTCATGGCTCTAGCTGTATATGTAGGGGAGGATGGCCTTGTCAGCATAGGTGGGAAAGGAGAACCTTGGTTCCATGAAGGCTAGACGCCCAGTGTGGGGTAATATGAGGGTGGGGAGGTGGGAGTGGGGAGGTAGGTGGGGGCACATCCTCATAGAAGCAGGCAGAGGGTGGATGGGATAGGGAGTTCCTGGGCAGGGGATGGGAATGGGGTAAGGGGATAACATCTGACATGTAAATAAAATATCCGATAAAAAATTAAAATAAAAGACATATTTTTGAGCCACCTGAAGAAAATACAAGTGTCAGAGACCAATAGTATACTAATTTGTTGTCTGTGGGCCAGTTGACCCAGGAGTGACTTGGGAGATACACAAGTCCCTATAGGCTGGATTAAAAAGTGACTCAGGGCAGCTTCATGGGGCAAACTATGGGAAGAGGAGCATGCAGTAAACACTACAGTCATGGGAAAGAAAAAGCAGGGAGCAGATACAAATGAGTGAAGAACAGAATAGCTGTTCCTGTGCTGAGACTGCCCGCGTCATGTGCGACGTGTTTCACCCAAGGGTTTAAGCCTTGTTTAACATTTTTACAGGACGTGGGGATGGGAGTCTTTGCAGTATTATAGGTTCCCCCAGGCTACCAAGAGAAGACTGTGCCTTATGGCAGGGACCCATGAAACCAACCAAGAGAGAAAGGCACTATCTTTGAGGTTGAACAGAAATCATTAACCACTAGACACAGCTGTGGTGAAGTGGGGACCAGCCAGATACCAACAGAGGTATTCTGAGCACATCCTGGAGAAGCCCTAAAGGAAAAGACACTCAGAGGTACATCCTTCTACAGACTTTACCATGGTTTCTTCCTGATTGCCCTCAGAGATCACATCTGGGTTCTTGTCACTCTAATCTGCAACCAGCCTCTACTTAGGCAAGTCAGTTACAGCTACTGCTTCCCTGTTATATGCTTACCACCTGGGATGGGAAAACAGTCCCACCAAATCAAAAGTGACTCTGTGAATAATTAAGATGATGCCTAGATCATTTGGAATAGGCTGGTGTCTCGCTGTGACAGCATGCTCTAATTCTCAGTTAATTAGCACTTGTGTCTTGTTATCTTTACCAAGCTCTTGCCTGCTTTAGCATCAGCATGGGACTCAAGTGAGTGCAGCCGACACTGAGAAGCTGGTATATATGAATGCAGGTCCTGCAAACATTTACTTTCTATAGCCTCATCATTGCAAAACACAAAAACTATCTTATTAATGGCTGTATACTTCTCCAAGAAGCAACAAAAAGAGTTCTGGGAGTCAGAAAACCTTGAGTTACATCCACCCTTGCCCTTTGCTGGCTGTATTTGTACACCATCCTAATTTCCCTGTGTCCCACA